AGCCAGCATGGCTCAGCTTGGAAACCTCTCCCTTTCCCCTCAGCATGGCTGGCTCAGGAATTCTGGGAGTTGAAGTCCACGAGTCATAAAAGAGCCAAGGTTCCCCACCCCGGGCTAGAAGGTTGAATGGCATTCCGGGTGTGTCTGTCTGCTGGCTGGGGAATTCTGGAAATTGAAGTCCACCCATCTTAAAAGTTGCCAAGATTGAGAAACACTGGTCTACACATTTTGTCCTCTGGAAAATCCTGTTATGTTTGCCGCAGAACGCTACCGCCTTAGAGAAAGAAATGATAGGGCTCAGCCAAGATTTATTTATTTATAGTTTATTGCGCATACACACACACCCCATATTACCATATGGTAACTCTGGGCAGCTTACAGACATAAAAACAATATATCTACGTTAAAGCATGAATAAAATTAAAGCCAAAGATTAAAATCAAGGATACGTGGGGAGGGCGGGGGCGGAATGTGTTGAGGTGGGATCTGTGGTTACTTGATCAACCACCTCCACTGTGCTGTTCCCTATTGGGTCCTCAAACCTTTACCATCTTTAGGCCCTTATGAAAGGATAGAAGGGTTGAGGCCAAGCTCACATGGTGGGGAGGGGGGGAGAAGATGTTCCAGAGGCCAGAAGCAAAGATGGAGGCATCGCTCAGCCCACTGATCTTCATTTCTGCTCTCCATAAACTACCTGGAGCCTAATGCACAGTCTGCAATCTAGCACAGCTTCGTCAAAAAGCAGCCTCTAGTATTAGCTCTCTTCCCCCCCCTCCTAATGAGCCATTCTTTGAAGCTTTTAAGAACCTCCTTCTTCTTCTTGTGCCATATCCGTTATCAGACGTTGGCGATCATGTTGGCGATCCTGTTTTTATCAGCAGCCGCACGAAAAACTGCTGCTGAATTTTGTCCAAACCAGTCCCTTAGATTTTGAAGCCATGATGTTCTTCTTCTGCCTGGACCTCGTTTGCCTTCCATCTTTCCCTGGAGGGTTAAATGGAGTATGCCGTATTTTTCTGGGTGTTGCATCACATGTCCGAAATATTCTAATTTTCGTTTTTTAATTGTTTTGATGATTTCTCTTGGCTTTCCCAGGCGGCTTATCCCCTCCTCATTTCTGATTTTGTCAACCCAGCTTATACGTAACAGCCGCCTGTAAATCCACATTTCAAATGCTTCTAGTCTCTTCAGGTGGCCTTCTGTCAGAGACCGACTCTCTACTCCATAGAGCAGGATAGGAAAAAATATAGCATCTGACAAGCCTGATTTTCAGTCTTAGGCTTATGTCGTGACTGCAGAAGACCTTTTTCATTTTGAAGAATGCTGTTCGGGCTTTTTCTATCCTTGTCTTTACTCCAGACTTCTCAAAAAGAACGTCTGAAAACCACTGGCTCAGTTCCTCCATCCGCCTTTTAGCCAAGAATCCTTCCGAGTCCAAAAATCGGGCTTTATATTCCCAAACATGCTAGATGCTGCAGCCTTACTCGGTCCAATAAAGGCCGTCCAATTCCCGCATATAGACTCAAGCTGCATTCCTGAAGATGGAAAAAGAATGAAACCTCTGTCTTTAGCAGTTGCGGAAAAAATATGAGCCCTTGGCAAAGGGCTCGTACGTCCCCATTTAGCCTGCATGCAGTTTTGCTTGTGTCCTTAACAGAGCTGCAAGCATCCTCTTGTTAGCCCAGAATAATATATAAAAAGAGGGTAACGCAGGAAAATGGAGGTCGCGGAAGAGTATGTAAATTGATAACATTTTTCCTGTGTTTCACAATTCCTTAGCTGTGAACTTTTCAACTGGTAGGAGCTGTGTATATGCTACAGTAATTCACCCGGGTCTCTGCAAATATGTAATAGAGGAACTTGCATATTATTGCCATGTTCTATGGCGACATGGGTGAGGAAGATGCACTGCTGACCTATAGTGGCTATGTTAAAACTCCACTTTTATGCCCTAACAGAAGGGGGGAAATCAATTTTCCCTTTTAAGGAAATGGGAATAATTATTATACCGACTAAGATCCAAGTGGTGGTGGTGGTGGTGGTGATGATGATGATGATGATGATGATGATGATGATGATGATGATGGAAGGGACCCTGGAAGTCATCTAGTCCAACCCCCTGCTCAGGCAGGAAACCCAATATGATTTCAGACAAAATGACTGTCCAATCTCTTCTTAAAAATTTCCAGGGTTGGAGAATTCACAGCTTCTGGAGGCAGGTCGTTCCACTGGTTAATTGTTCTCACTGTCAAAAAATTTCTCCTTAGTTCCAGGTTGCTTCTCTCCTTGATTAGTTTCCATCCGTTGCTTCTTGTCCTGCCTTCAGGCACCTTGGAGAATAGCTTGACTCCCTCTTCTTTGGGGCAGCCCCTGAGATATTGGAAGACTGCTATCATGTCCCCCCTCATCCTTCTCTTCATTAAACTAGACATACCCAATTCCAGCAGCCGTTCCTTATATGTTTTAGCCTCCAGTCCCCTAATCATCTTTGTTGCTCTTCTCTGTACTCTTTCTAGAGTCTCAACATCTTTTTTACATTGTGGTGACCATTAAACTAGACATACCCAATTCCAGCAACCATTCCTTATATGTTTTAGCTCCATCATCAGCCCCAAAGAAGGATGAAAGAAAAACCTGTATCTCCTCCACCTCTTTTCTCATTCCATGAAAAGGGAGAGAAACAGCACTGCGGATATGCTGGGTTCATGTCCATTTAGTGGGTGGCATTTTTTAAATCTTTTTGATGGAGTTCATGGTATCAGCAGTGCAGTAATTGGACAGACCGCCTCCATCGATTAAGAGTCTTTCCCTTTACTCTCGGCTTCCTGGGAAAATTCTATGTGGCATAAACGGACCTGCTATCAAAAGAGTAATGGCCCCACGGATGGAACCATTGTCCAACACTACATTTATTAATCTGCTCCTTTCATGCTTCAGTGTGCGAGATGAATTAGCGAACCCCAGTATCCGTTCGGCAGGGGAGAAGAGGAAGAACTGGCTTGCTTTTGGGACAATCTGCTTTGAAAGTGACCTGGTAGAAGAAAAAGAAGAGACGAAGGCTGCCCAAACTCCTTTTGGATACCACAGTAGGTACTGCATAGATTGGGGAGGCTCGGGGAGGGAACGGGAATCCTGCCAAGCTGCAAACTTCAAAATAAGCAACACAGCAGACAACGTGAGAGTGGCGTCTACTGAAACCACTTACACCCTGCTAAGAAACTACTGAGGTAGAGCTTGGGAGTGACATTAACCTGGAGTAGTTAATTGAGGTGCCATTAAGATTGCCCTAGCCCAGGGGTCTTCAAACTTGGCCCTTTTATGACTTGTGGACTTCAACTCCCAGAATTCCTCAGCCAGGCACGCGTGCCTGGCTGAGGAATTCTGGGAGTTGAAGTCTACAAGTCATAAAAGGGCCAGGTTTGAAGACCCCTGCCCTAGCCTATAAGCCTCAGTGGGATCCACTGGTGATTGCTATGCCCTTTGTAAAAAAAGAGTGCCTCTTTTTTTTATATAATATTTTATTGGTTTTCCAGTTTTGCATTTGAGTATTTGGAAGGCAACGTGGTGATTAGGTTAATCAATAGTTCAATAACAAAATCTTTAGTACATATCTCAGGTTACATCATCAAATGTTTCTTCTCTGTTTCCCTTAACATTTGCTACATCGTATTTAAGCTAGTAAATTTCTAATTGTATCAAACTCAGTGAAAACTTCATTATCACCTTTATCAATACATTTTTGCTTATATATATATTAATAGATCTTCATAAACAATCCATATCCTGTTATTAAGTTTTACCTAATTTTTAGTTTTTGATTACAGTACTCCAATTTAACCTTTAATATCCATAGTATTTGACTTTCGGGTAACCCAAATTTCCTTTGTCTCACTTCATAAAAATTATAATGTCTAAAATGGGCATATGACTTACTTAAATATATTCTTATTCTATTTCGTAAACGTTTTCTATTTCTCACCCTAGTACAGTGATGGCGAACCTTTTAGAGACCGAGTGCCCAAACTGCAACCCAAAACCCACTTATGTATCGTCGGGTGCCGGGTGGGCGTGGCCATTGGGTGGGTGTGGCCAGTTGGATGGGCATGGCCCATTGGGTGGGCGTGGCTGTGGTGGTAATGGCAAACTGGGTGGGACTAAAAAGTTCAATCAATCAATTCCAACTTTGCAAAATCTTTTTTTCCCCGCGAGAAGTTGAAATTGATTGAACCTTTTTTTTTTTTTTGCACACGGCGGCAGACCCCTAAAGTGAAAAGGTTTTATAAAACCCAGATGAAGGCCTAGGACTGGGGCGACGGTGCCCATGCCCATAGAGAGGGCTCTGCGTGCCACAGGTTCGCCACCACGGCCCTTGTGCATCACCACCTTAATAATAGAGTATCCTTTGTTAGCTCAAGTCCATCATCTCTATTATCTGGGCTAATCAATAGTGCCTCTTAATGGGGAACTGCACTTAGGTCTTTCAGCAAGCAGGCAGCGTTGGTGACGGTTTGCAGCATCCCGCAATCATGTCACCACATATTACAACTCAAGGAAATACTTAAAACTGTCACAGGCCACCAGACACAACCTTGACTTACAACCATTCATTTAGTGATGGTTCAAAATTACAATGGCACTGAAAAAAGGGACTTACGACTGCTTTTCATACTTGCAACTGTTGTAGCATCCCCATGGTCACGTGATCAAAATTTGGATGCTTGGAAACCGGTTCATATTTATGACGGTTGCCGTGCCCTGGGGTCACGTGATCCCCTTTTGCGACCTTCGGACAAGCAAAGTCAACGGGGAAGCCAGGTTCATTCAACAACCGTGTTACTAAACTTAACTGCAGTGGTTCACTTGACAACTGTGGCAAGAAAAAAAATATGGGGCAAAACCCGCCGAACAACTGTTAGCAACAGACATTTTGGGCTCAACTGTGGTCATAATCAAGGACTACCTGCATAGTAAGAGGTTCCTAAGAAGAGCAAGTTCCTTACCTTTTCAAGTCAACCGTTGTGACGCTGAATACTACTCCTTTGAGCCAGAGTATCATGAAGAGCCTCTGAGAGAAGGGGCAGTTGCCTATGCTTTCGCCGTCACTGCCAGCCTGTGGAAAAAGGGGAAAAAGACATTAGTAAAAAATGGACAAGCCATGCCAAACTGTTCCCTTTCATTGGACTAGATCAGGGCTTTTCAACCTTTTCACCCATTGTGCCACTTTCAGGTTATGGCAATATCCGGGTACCACCAGTTGCCTAGCAAGGTGTCAAAAACTTGATGACCCCCCCCCCAAAAAAGGAAAAAAGTGATAAAATACAGGTAATCCTCGACTTACAACAGTTCACTTAATGACTGTTTGAAGTTACAATGGCACTGAAAAAAGTGCCCCCCAAGCCACAGCCGAGCAAGACACCTGCCTGCCCGCCCGGCCGCACTCTTTCTCCTATCCGAGGTTTTCATTGTTGTGAGCATTTCTGTTGAGGATTGGCAGTGGGGGGTGGAGTGGGGTGTGTGTTTGGTTTCTATTCCCCCCGTTCTGCTGGGTGGTTGAAGCAGGTTTTGTTCACTTCATATGACCCTGGGACACTGTGACCGTCATAAATATGAATCAGTTGCCAAGCATCTGAATGTAAATCACAAGACCCTGGAGATGCTGCAACATTCCAGCTGATCGGCGCTTCTTCAGGGCTCAGCAGAAGCACCAGGATCAGTGCTGAGCTCCAGCTGAAGCCTGGCGCTGATCCTGGCGCTTCCACTGAGCCCTGACAGCCCCGAAGAAGCGCTGAATCTGGCGTTTCCGCTGAGCCCTGACAGCCCTGCAGCTCCAGCCATCTCTCGCTCAGGCTTGTGCGGTGCTGCCACCGGTTCAGCTCATTCCCCTCCCCTGCTATCACTTTTCTAGGATGGTCACATACCAGGTGCCAATGTACCACAGGTGGTTGAAAAGCCCTGGACTAGACAGCCAGCTGAACAAGAAGCAGAGCCCTCTCACTTTTGCCTCAAGCATCACAAAATGAGAAGGACCCGGTGCCCATGTGTAGGAGAAGAGGAAGAGCATGGGGGCAGAGTCAAAACAGGAATCAGCCTAGAACTTCTACATAGCCACAAATGAACTAAGTTCAATCTTTCTTGAATTCTGTTGATTCTCAGCCAAGATAGCACTAACCATTAATAGATTGTGGTGCACTGGCATGATTAGTTTAATTGGAATTTAATATGTGGTCCTGATGTTCACTCCTGGCACCGTGCGTGATACAATATTAGTTTGCGAGATCGACTTTTTGGCTGGTCACCGACACCAGGGATCTCTGGTCCCGGTGATCGACCCATAATTTGATCTCGCATCATTATTCTGGGACACATATATTTGCCTTCATTCGTAACACTAGTTTGATTTATGTACAGTTTTTCCATCAAGAACTTGAGGTAGCACACACCTCATGTTCCCTCTTCTAATCATCCCCCAAATAACCAAACGGGATAAGTTAAGCTGAGAAAGGTAACAGCTTGGGACTACCCATAAAAGAATAAGTAGCTGAGCTTGAGGAAAATGTAAGAAACACAAAATAACTTCACCTTAAGGGAAAAGCAGAAGTAACCTGGCCTGGCTTTTGAAACTGATTCCAGGAATGCTGCTTTATTGTTCTGAACAGATTCTTGAAAGGCTATCAGAAATTCTTTCCGCCCCATCATTGACCAAACAAAATCAAAACAGGGCTATTTTAAGTCCTTCCTCATGCTCCTTTCACTCTCTGTCCAGCGTTACTCAACCTTGGCAACTTTAAGACCTGTGGACTTCAACTCCCAGAAATCCCCAGCCAGCATGCTGACTGGGGAATTCTGGGAGTTGAAGTCCAGACATCTTAAAAGTTTCCTAAGGTTGAGAAACACTGCTATAATATTTCCACTGTTTCCCTTCCTCATTGGTGTGTGGCTTGACTTCTTTCTTTGACACTTCTAAACTAGCGTACAGAATTTGTCAAGCAAACACATCTAACTGCTTCATTTTTCCTGTAAACGGTCACTTTAGAGCAGGGGTCTTCAAACTTGGCCCTTTTAGGACTGGTGGACTTCAACTCCCAGAATTCCTCAGCCAGCGTGCCAAGACCAGTTCTACAATCCTTTACAGCACCTGACAAGTTATAAATACACAGTAAAGAGTCTTGAGTTTGGTAGAAATTCTTTACCCTGTTACACAATGGCAGCAACCGCTACCACAAATTTCCCATAAAAGTGTTTACAAACATGCTGCAATGTCTGAGCATCCCATGGTACAGGCATATGCTTCTGAAACAAGAGTTTTTAAACAATGGCTCTGACATTATATGGCTATATATTTGAATGGGAGACACTTATTGCTTTAATCAGGCAAACCAGATTCCCCCTCTTATGTTCACATAGGAAATGATCAAAAACTTCAGGCACAGCTTTCCACCTTACAATGACATAGCAGTTTGTTGTACAAAATATATAAAACTCTAAAGCAGGGCTCTTCAAACTTGGCCCTTTTAGGACTTGTGGACTTCAACTCCCAGAATTCCTCAGCCAGGCACACTGGCTGAGGAATTCTGGGAGTTGAAGTCCACAAGTCCTAAAAGGGCCAAGTTTGAAGACCCCTGTCTTAAATCTAACAAACAAAATGGAGGCTGGCTGAGGAATTCTGGGAGTTGAAGTCCACCAGTCCCAAAAGGGCCAAGTTTGAAGACCCCTGCTCTAAAGTGACCGTTTACAGGAAAAATGAAGCAGTTAGATGTGTTTGCTTGACAAATTCTGTACGATTGTTTAGAAGTGTCAAAGAAAGAAGTCAAGCCACACACCAATGAGGAAGGGAAACAGTGGAAATATTATAGGTGACCTAGTCGGAAGACTACAGTACACTACTCTTTTCCCTGAAATAATACATTGTTGATTAAATAATTATTAAACCACATAAACAAATTTTAGTGCTAGCTCAGCTGCTGGTAGAAAGACTATTATCCAGGACTTAACCCTCTATAAAAGCATTGACTTGGCACGTATCACAGAGATTTGAATAACAGGAGAGTCAATTTTTCTGTACGCCAGTTCAGAAACCACAAGCTCCATCCAATAGTCTGCCAATATTTAGTGTCTGCTTCTGTATTTATATGGCTGGGATAATAAAAGGATAATATTAGTGTACCATCACGCTACAGTCTCTCTTCCTGCGCTAGCCAGGGTAATTTCTGATGGACTATTTTAAAATCTATATGCTTGATACTCTCCTCTTCGCTACTCAACCTTTATGCAAGATCTACATTAAGATAAGCTGGGTAGAAACAGGATGAGCATGGTTTTAAAACTGGAGGCAGAAACATCAATAACCTGTATTATGTGGATGACGCTAATGGAAAGGATCTGCAAGCTCTAGCAATAAATTCAATCAAGCAGCTTAGTGAAAATATGGGACTAACAGTAAATATATTATAAATTGATTTATATGTTATAAATGTAAAGAAGACCAAATTCATGACAACAGGTAGAACAACAGCCTTAGACCTGACAATGAAGAAGCTGAAGTGGTGGATAGCTTCTGCCTTTTAGGATCAACCATCAACAGTAAAGGAACAAGCAATCAAGAAAAACACCACTGCCTAGCAATTTGTAGAACAATCAAGCAAGGCCTTGGAAAAAAACATTCAGGTGCTGTCTGAATGTGGATATTGTGCTGGTCAGAGTACATAGCTAGCTTAGGAATTAAGAACTGTCCCCTTAAGGGATAGCCTTCTGGGTAATGTAGTTTGTTACCTGGTTATATCTGTGTTAGGATTGGCCACTGGGAGGGTCTTGTGTTTTTATTACAGGATATCCTGTTTACGTGCCAATCTACAATCTCTCCATGAATCCTAGCCACGAGGGTTGGGAGCTCTGTTAGAATGGAGAAATCTATGGGTCCAGATTACAATCTGCATTTCAGAAGAACCTCTACAATAACTGTGAGTTAATATCTTGAGCAGACATGTCAAACACAAGGCCCGGGGGCCGGATGCGGCCCGCGAAGTGGTTTCATGCGGCCCGCGAAGCCATCCTGGAAACAATGAGGGAACAGCCCCACTGCCTTGGCCCTGGTCCAGGCTGGCCGGGAGCCAATGTACAATTTTGTGGTGGCCATCTATGCTGAAACATATTCAGTCTTAGCTCTACAAGGCCGTCTGGAAACAGCGAGGAACCAGCCCCTCCTGTGTCAGCCCCGCCGCCTGGGTGCATGCTGGGGAGGTGTCACCCTTTGTGAGGAATGAAGAAATGGACCATCGCCTGGAAGTGGCCACCAAATGGCCTTTGCCTGCTTCACATATCCAGCTTGATGGGCTGCGGTGGAGGGGTTCAGCAGGCAGTGAGGCTCCTCCAGTGGACCATGTCATGGCACTTGCCCCGGTCCCACCCCCTTCTGCCAGAGACCTTTAAATCTGTCCCACTCCTGCCCAGGCCCCCACAGGCATCCTTGATGCGAACGATGTAGAACTGGCCATGCCCACCCAATAGGCCACAACCACTCCGTCCACATCCACCCAGTAGGCCACACCCACCCGGCCCCCCAAGGGCAACCACAATGCTGATGCGGCCCTCAATGAAATTGAGTTTGACACCCCTGATCTTGAGGATACCTGATAATAAAGTAATTTTGCATGATTCGTCTGTGGAGTTAATTCTGCCAGTGACAAGTAGATATGGCTGTGTCCATACCTACAAAGATCGGAAAAAACAAGCTATGGTATTCCCTGTGATACTTTATGGAAGTAAAAGTTGGATTTTGGGGGGGGGAGGGAAAGAATATTGACATTTTTGAACTATGGTGTTGAAGAAGACTCCTGACTCATAACAAATGGGTCACGAACAAATCACCACACAGACTTACAACTCGGAGTTCTCACTTGAGGCACAAATAACGAGGCTCAAATGATCCAGATACATTATACAAAGACCTAGCTCTCTGGAAAAAGCTCTAGTGCTGGGAAAGAAGGAAGAGAGAAGGGTGTCCAACAGCAAGGTGGATGAAATCCATCACAGCAGTTTATGGGTGCGCCACTGGAAGACCGAAAGGCTCTGATTAGTAAGAGATCATCATGAAAAAAAAATCTACAGTAGTGG